CATTTTATAAGTCCAAGACCATTTTTTATGGAGATAATTCAAATGTATTTTTTTTCTTTTAAAAGTCCTAAGTTTAGACATCCAGAAAAAAACATGAAAGACCCATACGATATATACATTTATATATATTTAAATTTTTATTTATGGCTTAAATGATTTTTTTTATTCTGAAGTCCAATAATTGACCCACGGCCCGCAACATTTGCTTTCTTCATCCCTTCTCGCTTCTGTAATTTCTTTGAAGCATTTGAGAGGGAGAAAAATTATATGTAGAGGCTTGCATTAATTGCACTGTTTCACATATCGAATAGGCTTTCATCAAAAATTTAACTAATATTGTAATCTCAAGAACCACCATAAATAACAAAAGCATATCAAATAGACTTTCATTATAAAGCCAGAGATTTAATTAATATTGCATCGTTTCATATTTTCTATTAATCGGGAATCGGAATCCTTAATCCTAATATCATAACATTTAATAACTCCATTAATTCAATAAATGTAATCCTTTGTTATGGGCGAGAAAAAAATAGCTATTTTATTTTTCAAATGTTGTGTGTGTGTGTTTTTTTTTTTTATATAGTAAAAGATGTTGTGGCTATTTTATATTTATAGCTAATAATAATAATATTGTTGGTAATTAATTATAACATTAATTACTTCCCAAACCATATAGCTTTATTATATGTAAGATTTTTTGGCCGGGGTTGGGAGTGGAGGTGGGGGATTGAATAGGGACAAATAATATCGTACACTTGATTAAGAATGTGTTGATAATAACTGAACTTGTGACTATCATATATGAGAGTCATACTTCACACACTCGATCACCCATTTTGAGATGATACATGTTCATTTTTAATATACTAATGCAAGTTCATTGTTTGTGTAGTATATGTTTAGTTTTAATAAGTTCATTATATTTTGATATAAGTTCATTTTTAATATTCTAATGACCTTGTGGTTTAGTGGTATGAATTGACTTTCCTAAATAGGGATCATGGGTTTGAACTATAGGTTACAAATATTACATTGTAATAGTATTAGTAGTACTAAAAAATGTTTATTTTTAATATAGTGCAAATTAACCTGTAACATATTAAAAATTAATCTATAAAATACTAAAAATGAATCTAAATCAACTATTAGGTGTCCATTGCATTGATTTAAAGGGAATGGAGAACCCAAATAACAAACAAAATCAGCTACTACGAGAACATACCCTTAGCCAACTAAGTAATCGTCGGACAAGATTGACTGAATCCCCCGTTAATATATATATATATATATATATATATATATATATATATATATATATAGCATTAGGTCAGATCATCCATTTATATGAGATTGTGAAATCAAATCATAGTTATCCATCTAAAAAAAAAAAGTAATGGTATTACCATTTTTTCCATTTATTTAAGATTGAATTAATTGATATAGTAATTAAATTGGGTTTTTAATTATATTATAAACGATGGCAAATCTTTTCCATGTTTATAGGAGCTTTATTCATGGTAGGAATGCAACCAACAATGTTGTATTTCTAAATGCACACGCAAGGTTGTACAGTTGTGCACGCACCTCCCCAACCAAACACGTAATTACGCACACCCCTTTTATGCACACACCCCCATACTAACTTGCACACTTCATAACTCACCCATTTCTATGGCTTCACAGCCTCAGGTTGCATTATTACACAATACTATAGTTTCTATTGCACACACTTATGGATGAATATGCACAGTATTCAATATTATATTCTTACACAACATCGGGACTCTCTATATATAAAATGCACACACTTATTTACGTTTTTACACACACTACGGGTAGGTCATATGTATATTAAAAATGTATATAATTAGAAATGTTTTACTTCGTAAAAAAAAAACAAAAAAACATTGCACACACTGTTATACAAAAATGCATGATAGGTACTAAGCACACACGGTAGATAGGGTCGTATGGCTTCACCGCCTTAGTCGGCATTATTACATACTACTATGGCTACTATTACACACCCTCTTGGGCGAATATGCACAATACTCAGTATTATTCCACAACATTGGGGACGCTCAGTAAAATGCACACACCTGTTTGCGCTTTTGCATACACCTGTTTGCGCTTTTGCACACACTAAGGGTAGGTCATATGCATACTAAAAACATATATAATTAGGAATGTTTTACTTTGTAAAAAACGTTGCACACACTGTTATACAAAAATGCATGATAGTAAGGACACATTGTAGATAGTGTCGTATGACTTCACATTCTTAAACAGCATTATTACACACTACTATGATTTCTATTTCACACACTCATGAACTAATATGCATAGTACTTAGTATTATTTCACAACATTGGGGACGCACAGTAAAATGCACACACCATTTTGCGTGTTTGCACACATTTAGGGTATGTCATATGCATACTAAAAAACGTACATAATTAGGGGGTGAGCACACATGATAAGCACACACTATTGCTCACGATATTATTCCTGCGTTTAATTTTTTTTAGTTTTGATTCGTACCATTGATAGAATCCCTCTAAATAAGTACAATATTGTATTTCAATTATAATACAATTCAAATATAAAACTAAAATTACTGTCACCCCTATATATTAAATATATCTTAATATAAATGGATCTTTAAATTCAATCCTTATCATTAATTAAAATTAATTGGATAATTGATATGAGATCCCATGATCTCATCTACAAAGGTGGTCACAAGATCCAACATATATATATATATATATATATATATATATATATATATATATATATATATATATATATATATATATATATATATATATATATATATATATAGTTGAGTTCAAATGAGGACAAGTATATTATAGAGGACTGTGAGGACATATGTAGTGTGTGTCATTAGCCTGTATGTCGTGTGCATGGCTGAATGTAGTCGTGTGCCACAGTTTGTATGTCGCGTGCATAGATTTGTTAATTAATAGAGTTTGAATTCGAAACTTGATGTTGTGTGTGCCATTATGTATAAATTGTGTGTCTGTTATTAATTTGTTGTGCGCCCATTATTTGTCCGCACAGTCCTCTATATAGTGTTGTCCTCATTTGAACTCAACCCTATGGTGCGGATGGAGCGCCCGTGTGCGAATATGCGAATGCCTGATATTCGTCCTCGTGTTCAGATCTAATGGATGAGAAATATTGATTTTTTAAAAAAAAATGCGGTGGTATTTTCATAAATAATTGAACATCGAAGTGCAAGTAAAATGTATTACAAGTGCATGTAAAATGTATTATATGTGCAAGTAAAATTTACACTGAGCATCAATATTAAGTACACCTATAGTTATAAGTAGTTGCACCTATGGTTATAAGTAGTTGCACCTAGGTGCATGAATGCTTACAGGTGGTTTTAACGGGTACTACTACTCGTTGAACTCCCCAGAAGAACAAGAACGATGCCAAACAGAACGAACTCTGATCAATGAATGTTAACAAGGTAAAAATTACTACTACTCGCTGAACTCCCCAGAAGAACAAAAACGATGCCAAACAGAACGAACTCTGATCAATGAATGTTAACAAGGTAAAAATTACATACACTTGCAGGCGAAAGTTGGTGCACTTGTAGGTGAAAGTAGGTACACCCAATAAATGAATACAGGCAAAAACTACATGCACTTACAGGCAAAAGTAGGTACACTGTAGGTGAAAGTAGGTGCACCCGATCAATGAATGTTGACACGTGACACACGCTAATTGGTTTGCATTTCTCTCCTTGGCACCTATTCGCACCTGAACCCGACCCTATATATATATATATATATATATATATATATATATATATATATATATATATAGATTTAGGTTCTCGTGCGGGTGAGGGCTTCAGGTGCGGTTGTGCGGTTTAATTTGAGCCATCCATCTCGCTTTAATCAACGTCCAGGATTATCAAAGTTTTTTAAAAAAAAAAAACACGGTGGCAATTTTGTAATTTTTGCATCTAGGTCAAAATTAAGGTGAGCGGATCAGTGATTAATGTGCGTGAGTTTTGTGCTTAATATAATGTGCGTGTGTTTTGTGCTTAATGTGCGTGAGGTTTGTGCTTAATGTGCGTGGGGATGTGCTTAACGTGAATAGTTGTTAAAAGTTAAAGTCTGTGAGTGAATACTTAAAGTGCGTGAGTTTTGTGCTTAATGTGCGTGATGTTTGTGCTTAATGTGCGTGGATTTTGTACTTAATGTGCGTGAGTTTTGTACTTGGTTGTTGAAACTTAAAGTCTATGAGTTAATATTTAAAGTGCGTGGGTTTTGTACTTAATGTGCGTGAGGTTGTGCTTAATGTGTGTGGGTTTTATACTTAAAGTGCGTAAGTTTGTGATTAAGATTTAACACCTAAGGTGCACCAAGCCTCCGACTTGCCCTGGGCTTTGGCAAAACCCTCCAGCAAAGCTGAGCTACTCCTAAGCAAGATAAAAGGAGAAATCCAAATTCAAAGTATAGAGTTGATGAGTTGAATGAGTCTCCTCCTCACCTTCCTGGTATTCGCACACTGGGTTTTGGCAAGCGTTTTTTTTTTTTTTTTTTTTTTTTTAATTTTCATTGATTTGAGTCGTTGATTTAAATTTGATCAACTGTTCAGATTTAACCGCACAACCACACGGGAAATTATACCCGCACCTGAACCCTTCCCTATATATATATATATATATATATATATATATATATATATATATATATATATATATATATATATATATATATATAAACTTAAATATACAACCCAGATGATATGAAGCAGGTGCGTTATCTTATGACTTAATTTAATATAACTATAATTAAGGTTTTTGTTTGCTAGAATCCCAACCTCACCAGTGACAACCTGGTTCCTCGAAGCTAGCTACCTGCACATGTAGCATTTGCTTGACAACCCCCTTCTATATGAACACTAATCCCCTTCACACTTTCCCATATATCACAATCAACAAATATACAATGGAAAAACTTAGCTTCTCCTCCTTCTTCCTCCTCGTCCTCCTCTCCATTTTCTCCCTCATCGCCGCCGGCAGCGCCCGGCCAGTTCAGAGATGGCCTTACTCTCGCGCCAGAACGTACGTCGAATCTCAGTGTCGGCGCACACTATACCCGAAACTGTGCGTTTCGGGTCTCGCCGGTAACGTGAACCCCACATCGCAATCGCCACAGGAGCTAGCGCAAGTGGCGCTAAAGGTGAGTCTGGTTAGGGCACGCTACGCGAGCGCCTACATGGCCAAAGTAAGCAGAGATCTGAAGCCCAAGGAATACCGGGCCGCCGTTCGCGATTGCATAAATCAAATCGAAGGCGGCGCTTCGCAGCTGGCCAGGGCGGTGAAGGAGCTCCGACGGCTAAAAAACTTTGACGGCGAAAACGCTTTCGTTTGGCATCAGAGCAACGTCCAGACATGGCTGAGCACAATGGAAACCAACGCCTTCGCTTGTATGGATGGAATCTCAGGGTACAGAATGGGCGGTAGGGTTAGGAGAGTTATTCAAGCGAAGGTTCTTAACGTTGCAGAATCCACCAGTATCGCCCTCGCCATGTTTAACCACTTCGCTGCTACACAAAGAGCCTCGTTCTCCAAGAACAAACCCTAATTAGTTACATTTCAATTCATTATTTGTTGTTTGAAAATCACCAGGAATTTACTTTGTGTTCAATCTTTTTTTTGTTTTTTTTTTGTTTTTTTTTTGTTTTTTGTTTTTTTTTTTTATGTTATGTATGCTTAAGACACATATGTAACGTTCAAGTATATGCAATATGTGAATATCAAATTAATTTTGAATTAATTTAATTTAATAATGCAATTGTTGCGTACTGAAATTTAGTATGCAATAATGGAATGGAAGAAACCTTTGAGCAAGATTCTAGCTCAAATCCGTATTCGAGTTACAGTAACTACAAAAGGAAAAAATATATAACTAAAGAAAAATGAAGAATTCTTCAATATAATTGATTTCTGCATGCCTTTACATTACATAAAATACCCTAAAATAATGCAATTATAATAATGAAATGACTAATTATTCCTCTAATTACCAATTACACATAAATGCTAATTATTTTTCTAATTAAGGTCTTTCCAAAAGGTTGAATCACAACCCTAAGGACCTCCACACCCCGATCCGACAGAGCATTTGGGATGATGTAAATCATGGTAACTCAACTAAATATGAACCACAGAGGCCACGCTAGACCTTGGCTTAGTGTGTACAAGGAGCCCCATCACTTTGAGAGGTTGCTCCCACATTCTTTTTAACTTTCACCTCTATAACCAGTTAAACTGCCCATGCAGGCAATATACATTATTCTTGTGGCGTATCAGCAATAATCAAACATTTATTAATATATAGTTTACAATTTACATTTTAGGGTTGCTTGGTTATTCGAAGTCAACTGCAGCTATGCAATGCAATCACGAGGCCACGTGATACTTTAAGCTTACAAAATGTTATGCCGCATATCAAGATCTATATTATTTTTTAAAAAGCAAAATATTTAATCTATTTATTTTAGGGTCGATTTGAAAATATAAAAAAAAAATTCTGAAAAAATAATTTTCAAAAAATGATTTATTTTCTGTAAAGTAATTTAAATTTCTAATTTGGCCGAAGGTTAAAAAACTAGCTTTTTCTGTTTTGTTGAAAGTTAATAAATTACATTTTTTTTTATGTTTGGTTTATTTTCTAGAAAATGAAAATATTATTTGCTACATATATATAATAACAACAACAACAACAATAATAATAATAATAATAATAATAATAATAATAATAATAATAATAATAATAATAATAATAATAATAATAATAAGAAGTTGTGGTGGTGGTGTTAGTGGTAGTGTGGTGAGGTGGTGGTAGGGGATGAGCAAAGTATTCAATTTGCTAGAAAAACTGCTAACCAAAAGGGTGGAAGGCATCGTATATCCCCAAAAGAGTACTTTGTTTTTCGTATCCATGAAAGAATGAGTGAAAGAATGAGTGAAATCTCAACTATTCTCTATTCTAATAGATTGCCCAACAGTTCTTAGTGGATGCTTACACAATGGTGGAATTTGGTAGACTAATTTTTATAAGGACCAATCAAAAAGCCTTGAGATGTGAAACTTACAAAGGGCTGTCAAATGCCTTCCCGAGGAGAGATTGAACCTAGCACGTTGGGTAAGTGTATAATTTTATCATCCAATTTTACTGGTGGAGCTAGGTATATGATACAAAATTACCAGGATGCAATGGTCGTATGCCGTTGAATAAGATATCCAAATCTTTTCATTACATTTACGTGTAACTCTAACTGGCCAGAAATACAACACTGCGTTGATAGGAGAAACTTAGGGGGCGTTTGGTTCAAGTTATATAACATAACCAAGGGAATGTGACATTCCAAAGCTCACATTCCGGTGTTTGGTTCATATTATCTTAGGGAATCTAACATTCCCAAGGAATGTCACATTCCCTCCACATAGGATTTTGAAGGGAATGTGATTCCCTTCAAAATCTTAGGTAATGTAAGATAACCTTGGATATGTTAGTTTATTATATATATATATATATATATATATATATATATATATATATATATATATAATTATAATTATTTTTGTAATTATATATATTTTTTATTTTTATTATGTTATGTTAGCATATAAAATAATTTTGTTTCTCAAGTTCAATATTTTAGTTAATATTTTAAAATCATATAATTATATATGATACCGTTATCTTATTTATTTATTTTAATTTTTAAATTTATTAAAATATATGAAAATATGTTAAGGATATTATAGTGTGTATAAAATATAATCCTAAACCAAACATGATTATATTACATACCTCAATTTTAACCAAACACAGGAATCTAACATTCACAGTAATCTGACATTCTCAGCAATCTAACATTTCCTAAGGTAATCTGACATTTCGTGAACCAAACGATCCCTTAAAGGCTGAAGATAGACCTGACATTGTGTGTCGAATCTCTAAAATGAAGTTGGATGGTCTAATAAAAAAAGTTTAAGTCTAGAGAAATATTTGGTGCAGTTAGAGCAGGTAAAGTAAACATATTAAATTAATTGTTTATTTTAATTAATATGATTTATTATATACTCATGTCATTATTAAAAATTCATCATTTTTGCCTGCTATATACAATTATACACCATCAAATTACAGAAGCGAGGATTTTCCTATGCACACATCTTGCTTTTCCTTGCAAAAATAAAGAAACAGTTCAGCAAACTTCATGGACTCTATCATATCAGCTGAAATACCTGACAAGGAACACGACAAAGAGTACTACAACTAGTCAAAGAATTCATGATTCATGGTCCATGTGGAGCCGCAAAGAAGAAGTCCCCTCGCATGATAAATGGAAGATGTCCTAAGCATTTTGCAAAGAAGTTTGTTGACTGCTCCAGTTTTGACGAAGATGGATATCCAATCTATAGGCGTCGTGATGATGGTATGATCGTGAACGAAAACCAAATTCAGTTGGACAATAGATATGTCATACCACACAATAGGTATTTGCTTTTGAAGTATAGGGCACACATGAAAGTAGAATGGTGTAAGATGTAACCAATCCAAATCAATAAAATACTTATTCAAGTATGTGAACAAATGAAATAATCTTATAAAATTTATTAAAAATACAATGGAAGAAAATGGCAATGAAGTAATAGATGAGATAAACATGTACTACAATTGTCGTTATGTATCCGCGTGTGAGGCTACATGGCGTCTTCTCAACTTTGATGTGCAATTCATAACACTTGTGGTTGAAAGATAGTGTCACCAATGTATTGAACCGACATACTATTCGTCAAAGTATGTTTCTAGAGTGGTTTGAAGCCAACAAGAGATATGTAGAGGCCAAGATGTTTACTTATATTGAGATGCATAGCTAATAGATTTGTTTGGAAAAAGGATATTTGAGAATGGCATCCAAGGAAAAAGGATTTTCAATTGGTCATATTTTCCATGTACCGCTATGTAGTGGTGAACTATATTACGTTAGATGTCTTCTTAATATAGTTCGTGGCCCTACAGGTTTTAAATACATCTCGTATATTTGATTGCATTGAGTATATGACTTTTAGAGATGCATGTTATGCACATGGATTATTAGATGATGAAAAAGAATACATTGATGGAATCCATGAGGCAAGTAATTGGTCATCAACTCAATCGATGAGAAAACTATTTGTGACATTGTTGATATCCAATTCTTTGAATAGGCCAGAAACGGTTAGAATGATTTGTGGCACCATCTCACAGAAAATTCACAATTAAATCAGCGTAGATTACTACTCAAACTAGGTTTGTTAAAAAAAAAAAATAAAAAAAAAATAAAAAAAAAAAAAACCTTTAATAGATGTACCTTTATACAAGCTACTTTTCATTATAAAGTTATTAATTATATTACTTATAATTAATAATTATGATGATGAGAAAAAACTTTGCTTTGATTGAGTTGGAAAAGTTGTTATAAATACACAATATATAGGTCTTTGAAAGACTTTACTCCGGTGCCTTTTACGAACTTAGTCTATACGACGTTAAGTGAAAATCGATTGTTGCTTAAGGAGTTATTTTATCTTTTACGATTTTTGAGAGTAAAATGGCCAACATGGAAGAGAGAGAGGGAATAAGTTTCTCTTGCAAGGAAGGGGTTTTTCGCTGAAACGTGGGACCCACGGCAGAAATCAGCCAACCATGCTGCCTCGCGTGACTGTCACAACTGCGTCCAGCGGGCGCGTGCACTGCATGCGCCCGCTAGGCACGTTAGGAAAGAATTGTTAGGGTGGAAGTTTGGAAGGTCGAGTTCAAAACCTAGGGTTGAGTACTATATATATAGGGTCAAGTAATATGGACCGATCAATGGCCAGTTGAAAATTGAATCCATAACCTTTCATTTAAAAAAGCTACTTCGTGTCACTAAACTACAAGATTAGTTATTCAAACTTATGACCTAATTTAATATAAATATAATTAACGTTTTGTTTGCTATAATCCCAACCTCACCAGCGACAATCTGGTTCCTCGAAGCTCTAGATACCTGCACGTGTAGCATTTGCCTGACAACCCTTCTATATAAACACTAATGGCCTAATGCCCTTCACATTTTCCCATTACAATCAACAAATATACCATGGCAATATTAAAGATTAATTGTATTATTCTTTTTATATTTATTGTATTGTTAAGTCTCCAGGTTGTTGCAATAGTTCTCCTTTAGAATAGCTCCTTTTAACTTGGTTTCCACCTTTTCCTCTTCTTCCAAGTTACATAGAGTATGATTTTCTCACCTTTACATGGTATTAAGAGCTGTCATTTACTTCAACAAGAATTAATTTTTTTTAGGGTTGGGGTTCAGCCTTTGGAAGAAGAATTAATTTTTTTTTCTTGTACTCCACTCTTTCAAATGGAAATCACCTCTGAAACACAACTTGTTTATTTGACTGCTACCACCCATCTCCCGATCCGTCTAAATGATATGAACTTTCTAGTTTGGCGTCGTCAAGTTCACTCCACACTGATTGGTCTCGGCCTACTCGGCTATGTTGACGGCACCGTCACCGTACCAGCTGCATTTTTGGATGCAACATGTACAACTCCAAATCCGGCTCAT